ATCTGGCCCCAGTTTCCTCACCTGAAAAGCAGGGGCTGGAAGAGTCGTCCTCTAAGAAGACCTTCCAGTTGTAACTCCAAAATTCTCAGTTCTGTGACTACAGGGCATAAAGCTGGCAGGCGTGGTGAGGGGCTCATGAGGGTGATGGGAGTGCTGCGGCTTCAGGGCTTCCTTTCTGACTCCTGTTCTGCTTGGCTCCTCCGTGTGTAGGCGACAGAGAACATGGCAGGTGGGACACGGAGGGCTGCGTTTCTTGGCTGGATTAAAAGTGCCAGTGGAGTTGTGTGGCTTGGAGGGAGGGTTGCTTCCATTGTCTCCCAAAGATGGTGTTAGGAAGTACAAAGACAAATCTTCTCTATTTTAACCTTTTTGTATGTGCTTTATCGAGTATTTTAAAAAATATGTAGCTAGCACATCAGATTTGTTGTTTCAAAGAGGTGGCTGCTTAAGATGTGGCTCCCGCTTTGAAAAATGGCGTCAGCCTGAAGGGAAAGGTTAAGTCCCCATGGTATTTGATGACAGCAGAGGTTCTGATGGGGAGGGGGTGGTGACTAGATTCCAGACACCCTGGCCTGAGGGACCGGTCACACCTTACCAGCATGGCGCCTTCGCCTTCGCCTTGCTCTGCGCCCTCTGGAGGCTGCTCCACAAGGGAGCTTACATTCCTGCTCCGAGAGGACGACGGGGCCTGGGGAAGAGCTGCCGAGTGGGACGGGCCCCAGCTCTCCCTTCTGAGGCAGGGGCCTTGGAGCCCAGCTCCACAGGGTGGTGTCCTGGAGGGTTTCTTCTAGCAGGTGGTGCTGGCCAGCTGTCCCCTGGAGTCCGGGGGTGGGGGGGGCTGGTTCACCCAGCTGGGGGGCGAGGGCGTGCACAGTGCCTCCGGCCCAGCCCTTTTTTGTGTTGGGCACTTGCTTCTCGGAGAGTATGTTGTCTGCTCGTCTCTTTGAGCACAGGTTTTGTCTGCTTTGTTTTGTTTCCCCAAAATGGGAAAAGTTTTGTTTTTTATAAAGAGTAAAAGTATTCAATATAAAAAATAGAGTATTAAATACATATCCCTATGTATATAGAGAATAGGATAAATTACTTAGACCCAGTGGTAATCACGTAACATTTTGGTGTATAACCTTCTAGAATCTTTTGTCTTTGTGTATATACCTAGTTGGTTCTCAGTATCTATGTAATTTTACATAAATGAAATCATACTGCTCATCTGTTACTTTTTTTTTCCCCCAACGATAAATATGTCATAAACATCTAAACATAATAGAGACTCTTAGTATTCTCTTTTGTGGGTAGGTTTGACATAATTTATTTAAACAGTCCTCTTTAATGGAAATTTTGGTGGCATCCAGTATTTGGCCCTGTTAATAATACTGTGATAAATACTCTGTGTGTTCATCCAAGCATTTGCTTTACTGGGTATCTTTTACTGTAGGTTTTAGATACAGAACTGTGGGTCAGCATTAAGTACTTTAACGTTTTTTTCCTAGTATTTTTTTTTTTTTTGAGAGCAGCGGGGAGGGGCAGAGAGAGGCTAGGGGTGGCGGGCCACAGAGGATCTGAAGCAGGCTCCGAGCTGACAGCAGACAGCCTGATGTGGGGCTGGAACTCACAAACCCTGGGATCATGACCCGAGTTGGAGTCAGATGCTTAACTGAGCCACCCAGACACATCGTACATTAACATTTTTAATGTATGTTTTAAAACTGCCTTCCAGAAAGGTGGGACTGAGCCAGCCAGCCAGCCCTGGCTGGTGGGATGGGTGTTGAACAACTACAGGTATAGCTGTGGGCTTTCTTTGCATCCCTTGGAGTGTGCAGTCTCCTAGCTCAGATGTATGTTTCTTGGGCATCTGGGCAGACAGACCTGCCTGTACTCTACCCCAAATGATGGCAGGCCTGCTTCTCCCATTTGCCCCCAGAATGCGGTCCGTGTCCCACGGGACTTTGAGGGCTGCAGTGTCCTCCGCAAGTACCTAGGCCAGCTCCACTACCTGCAGAGTCGGGTCCCCATGGGCTCGGGCCAAGAGGCCGCTGTTCCTGTCACCTGGTAAGAGCTGGCAGGCAGGGCTGGGGGGAGCCTGGAGGGTGCCTGGGCAGCCCAGGGTGTTTGGATGGTGGGGGTGTCCCTTCCCTTTACTCTCTTCCCCGCCCCCTTCCTTGCTGCCGAGGATGGGGAGTGGCTTGGTGTGGTCTCCCCAGGCCTCCCTCTGACCTGCAGTGGGGTAGCTGGTCCCATCACCTGGCCTCAAGGTCCCGGCCAGCTCCTTCCCTTAAGATGATGGGGGTGGCCTGTCTGCAGGACCGAGATCTTCTCTGGCAAGTCTGTGGCCCATGAGGACATCAAGTATGAGCAGGCCTGCATTCTCTACAACCTCGGTGAGCTGCCTAACCCCTTCTCCATGTCCCTACCTCCCAGGCCCGCCAACCCAGGATCTCAGCTCAGCAGAAAGTCACAAAGGCAGTGTGCTCATGGACAGAAGGTCCCCGGATTCTGCCCCTTCACTGCCTCCCCCATAGCTCTGCCAGCACCTCTTTTCTGGGCCGTGGGCAGCCACCTGCTGGGGAGAAGCTCCATTGGGCTGGCTGCCACATGGTGTTGCTGCTGTGTGCTCTGGCCAGGAGTAGCGCTCTGGCCAGGAGTAGCGACCTGTCTTCATAGACTGGACAGCACTGCCTTGGCTTCTGGTTGGTCTCAGCTAGCCCTGATGACTTGGCCTTAGTGTGGCTCAGGGGAGGCGCCTGGGGAGCCCCAGAGTCCTGTGTAGGCACCCCTGGGGCTTCAAGACTGGACCTGTAGGCTAGAGGCTATGGATGGGAGCTCCTCCTTCCAACACCCACACCTCTGCCTAGTGTAGAGCAGCAGACTGAGGGGCTAGGCTGGACTTCTGAGTGTGTCCTTGGGCCAGCAGCCCCAGTTTTCAGATCCCTGTTTTCCTGACTGTGAGTGACAACACTGCCCCCTCTGCCTTACACTTGACAAAGGTGTGGGCAGCCTGGGGAACAGCCCCGGGCCAGCCCTGACACCATGTTCTCTGACTCCCCAGGGGCACTGCACTCCATGTTGGGGGCCATGGACAAGCGGGTGTCTGAGGAGGTGAGGAGGGGAGGGGCAGTGGGTGGGACAGAGGACATAACCCAGGAGGGTTGCTGAGTGTCCTTCACCTCCAGAGTTTGCGTCCTGTCCTGTGGGAGTGGACACGGGCAGCTATCTCCTCCGCCTCTTCCCCTCCCAGGGCATGAAGGTCTCCTGCACTCACTTCCAGTGCGCGGCAGGCGCCTTTGCCTACCTGCGTGAGCACTTCCCTCATGCCTACAGCGTTGACATGAGCCGCCAGATCCTCACTCTCAATGTCAACCTCATGCTGGTGAGGAGGTGCCCTTGTTGGGGCCCGGTTGAATCCGGGGATGGGGACGGCTGGTGCCGGCTCCTAGACCAGGCCCTGTGCAGATAGCAGTGAGGCCTTGGCTTTGAGCTTTTGAGCCCCGGTGGATCAGAGCAGGGCAGCGCTTCTTGGAGTAGGGGAGGTTGGAGGAGTGAGGACAGGGGAGGGGAATCCCTCTGTGGTCCCCCTGATGGGAAGGGTAAGATCTCTGGGTAAACAAGCGAACGCACCTGCATTTGTTGGTCCAGGGCCAGGCTCAGGAGTGCCTTCTGGAGAAGTCAATGTTGGACAACAGGAAGAGCTTTCTGGTGGCCCGCATCAGCGCACAGGTAGGGACGGGGGTGGGTGGTGGCCCTCAAGGGACTGAGAGCAGGCCTTTAGTTCACTCCTGACCCCCACTCATGGCCCCATCCTGGCTCCCAGGTGGTGGATTACTACAAGGAGGCGTGCCGGGCCTTGGAGAACCCTGACACCGCCTCGCTGCTGGGCCGGATCCAGAAGGACTGGAAGAAGCTCGTACAGATGAAGATCTACTACTTTGCAGCTGTGGCTCATGTGCGAGCACTGTGACCACTGGGGGGGGGGGGCCGGGGGGGGGCTGCCACAGCTGGGAAGTAAGTGGTGGCGTCTCTTCTCTCTCGCCAGCTGCACATGGGGAAGCAGGCTGAGGAGCAGCAGAAGTTCGGGGAGCGGGTGAGTGAGCCACGGCAGGGGGTTAGGACTAAGTCCAGCCTAGGGGCTGCTAGAGGGGAAACTTCCCTTACGGAGTAGGAGAGGTTGTCCTGGCCGTCCCTCACGCCCACATCCTTGGCCACCGCTGGCTGTAGGCCTGGTGTTTCTTTTATGTTGTCGCATCTGTTTTCACCCTGATCCCAAGAGGCCTGAGGAGGTGGGGCAGGGGGTGACACTAAGCTGTTGGCTTGGCTGGTGCCTGGCTGCTTCCTCAGCTTCTGGTCTTCTAATGGGTCACCCGATGGCCAGGCAGGGTTTAATGGGGTGGCAGGAGGAGGGAAGAATGGACCGGGCTCTGCCTGCTGTCCCGTACAGGTCGCATACTTCCAGAGTGCCCTGGACAAGCTTAATGAAGCCATCAAGTTAGCCAAGGTAAAGCTGAGGAAGAGCATGGCTGCCCCTCAGAGCCCTGAGAGTACATGGTGGGGCTGAGGGTTGTCCTGACGCCGGCTTGACTTGGTGCTGAGTATCCTCCCCACTCCCCGTCCCCCCCACCTTCCCTGTCCTACAGGGCCAGCCTGACACTGTGCAAGATGCACTTCGCTTCACTATGGATGTCATTGGGGGAAAGTGAGTCTGTGGGGCTGGTGGTGGCCCTGGTTCCTATTTGTTGGGAAGGGTGTTGGCCCTTTGCCTGCATCATGTACCTGAAAATAGTGGGCCCCCTGGGAGGCTAGGTCCTGGATCCCTGCTGATTGCTGGACTCCCCACTTCCCCTTCTGACCCCAGGTACAATTCTGCCAAAAAGGACAATGACTTCATCTACCACGAGGCTGTCCCAGTACTGGACACCCTGCAGCCCGTGAAAGGTCTGGAGCTGAGCCGAGGCTGAGGCTTGGGGTAGGGGGTGAAGACGGGAGGACAGAACAGAGGCAGGCTCCGCTTGTGTGGACTTGGTTTCCAGTTGTTCCTCTCCCTCCCAGGTGCCCCCTTGGTAAAGCCCTTACCAGTGAACCCCACAGACCCGGCCGTCACGGGCCCTGACATCTTTGCCAAACTGGTACCCATGGCTGCCCACGAAGCGTCGTCACTGTACAGGTGGGCGGGAGGGGCCGGCCCCGTTCTTAGCACACGTGGGGTTGGGATGTCTCAGGACATAGGTTTCCAACAACTGCTGTCACTTCTGCAGTGAGGAGAAGGCCAAGCTGCTTCGGGAGATGATGGCCAAGATTGAGGACAAGAATGAAGTCCTGGAGTGAGTGTGGGGCTGGAGGTGACACAGCAGATGTCTGTGGGGTCCCCAGTGCTGCCTGCAGCAGGGAAAGGAATAACGAATGTCCTCTTGCCCCAGGTTTCCTAGCACTGCTTTTTCTGCCCGTGGTCTCGGGTGCTGGATTTAGAGGGTGAAAGTCACATGTCTTGGGAGGAGAGTGTCCCTCTGTCGCATTTTCTTCACCAGTGCCCTGGGTCTGTTCTGTGGGGCCAGGTCAAGACCTCCAGTGGTAGAGTCAGGATGCGAACTTGCCCTTTGCTAGGACCTCAGACCCAGTTTCAGTGGTGGGGCTCGCTCTCGGGAGAGGAGTGAGAAGTTAGGTCAACACCCACCTGGTCCTCTTGCCCTCACAGCCAGTTCATGGATTCGATGCAGTTGGATCCGGAGACCGTGGACAACCTTGATGCGTACAGCCACATCCCGCCCCAGCTTATGGAAAAGTGTGCCGCTCTCAGTGTCCGGCCCGACACCGTCAGGAACCTTGTCCAGTCCATGCAGGGTGAGCAAGTTGGGAGAAACAAGTGGGTGGTGGAGGTCACCTGTAGTGGCCGCCTCCGTGTCCTCTGTTCCCCGAGGACAGAGGTTAGACTTCTGAGCACTAGGCACGAGCGCCCACCTCCATCCCTCCGTGGATCCCTGCACCCTGTGTGCCCTGCTCGGCGAGCACTGGGTCACACACGGGCCCTTGACTGAGTGGGTGGTTCTGTCTCCCTGGGGATGGACACAAACGGGTGCCTAGGGTGCCTACCTCAGGAACTGCGCCCCCCCCCCTCCCCCGCACCCCCTAGTGCTGTCAGGTGTGTTCACGGATGTGGAGGCCTCCCTGAAGGACATCAGGGAGCTGCTGGAGGAGGATGAGCTGCTTGAGCAGAAGTTGCAGGAGACCCTGGGCCAGGCCGGGGCCAGCCTGGCGGGAGGGGCCGGCTCCAAGGCAGAGCTGGCCGAGGTGAGGCGAGACTGGGCCAAGTACATGGAGGTCCACGAGAAGGCCTCCTTCACCAACAGCGAGCTGCACCGCGCCATGAATCTGCACGTCGGTAACCTGCGCCTGCTCAGCGGGCCGCTGGACCAGGTCCGGGCTGCCCTGCCCACGCCAGCCCTCACCCCAGGTGAGTCCCTCCCCTCCCCAGGGCAAGGGAGGCAGGGCTGGAGGCCCCAGTCTCACAACCACTGCTGCTCCCAGAGGACAAGGCCGTGCTGCAGAATCTGAAGCGCATCCTGGCCAAGGTGCAGGAGATGCGGGACCAGCGCGTGTCCCTGGAGCAGCAGCTGCGTGAGCTTATCCAGAAGGATGACATCACCGCGTCACTGGTGACCACGGACCACTCGGAGATAAAGGTGGGTGGGTGAGCAGGGGGAGTGTCTCTGGGCTCCGCCTGTAAGCGGCGAGGCCCTGAGTGTCTGTCCTCCGCCTCCTTCTCGCAGAAGCTGTTCGAGGAGCAGCTGAAGAAGTATGACCAGCTGAGGGTGTACCTGGAGCAGAACCTGGCGGCCCAGGACAACGTCCTGCGGGCACTGACAGAGGCCAACGTGCAGTACGCGGCCGTGCGGCGGGTGCTTAGTGACCTGGACCAAAAGTCAGTGTCCGGCCCCCTGCTTTTTCTTGCCCAGCCTCCCGCCCAGAGCGCGGCCTAAGCTGCTCACCTCGTGCTGGCCCTTCTGCCCCCCAGGTGGAAGTCCACACTGCAGACCCTGGTGGCCTCCTGTGAAGCCTATGAGGACCTGATGAAAAAGTCCCAGGAGGGCAAGGACTTCTATGCCGACCTGGAGAGCAAGGTGGCTGCCCTCTTGGAACGGGCCCAGTCCACCTGCCAGGCCCGAGAGGCTGCCCGCCAGCAGCTCCTGGACAGGTGGGTGCGGCCCCACACCCCAGGCTAGGCCGACAGGGAGCGGTCTGGCTCCATGCCTTCCTCACCTCGTTCTGCAGGGAGCTGAAGAAGAAGCCACCCCCACGGCCCACCGCCCCGAAGCCGCTGCTGCCCCGGAGGGAGGAAGGAGAGGTGGTAGAGACAGGAGACCTACCTGAAGAGCTGCGCAGCCTGCCTCCAGACATGGTGGCCGGCCCACGGCCACCCGACACCTACTTGGGAGCCGCCGCCCCTCTCCACTTTCCTCCCGGCCCCTTCCCCAGTGTTGCAGGCCCGGGACCCCACTATCTCTCAGGACCCTTACCTCCTGGTACCTACTCGGGCCACACCCAGGTATTGCCACCCAGGGTCCCCCAGGCCCCAGGACACCCTGCAGTGGCCGTGGCCCCCGGACCTGCCCTCTACCCGGCCCCTGCCTACACACCGGAGCTGGGCCTCGTGCCCCGATCCTCCCCACAGCACGGCGTGGTGAGCGGCCCCTATGCGGGGGTAGGGCCACCCCCACCGGTGGCAGGTCTACCCTCAGCCCCACCTCCCCAGTTTTCAGGCCCCGAGTTGGCCATGGGGGTTCGGCCAGCCACCACCACGGTAGATAGCATCCAGGCCCCTATCTCCAGCCACACGGCACCACGGCCAAACCCTAGCCCTGCTCCTCCCCAGCCCTGCTTCCCGGTGTCCCCACCGCAGCCACAACTGCTCCCTGCACCGTACACCTACCCTCTGGGGACCAAGCAACCCCTCACAGCTCCCCCTGCCCAGCACCACTTTCCTCCTGGGATTCCCCCAGGTTTTCCAGCCCCGAGGGTGGGGCCCCAGCCCCAGCCTCATCCCACAGGAGTAGCATTTGGGCCCCAGCCCCCCCAGCAGCCCCTTCCACTCCAGCATCCGAACCTCTTCCCACCCCAGGCTCCAGGGCGGGTACCCCTCCAGCCCTCCCAGCCCCCCCAGCCTCCCTATCCCTTTACCCCTCAGCCTGGTGTCCTGGGACAGCCAACGCCGCCCCTGCACACACAGCTCTACCCGGGCCCCTCTCAGGACCCTCTGCCCCCCCATTCAGGGGCTCTGCCCTTCCCCAGCCCTGGGCCACCTCAGTCTCCCCATCCCACCTTGGCATATGGTCCTGCCCCTTCCTCCCGGCCTCTGGGCCCCCAGGCAGCTCCTCTCTCCATTCGAGGTCCCTCACCTGCTGGCCAGCCCCCGCCCAACCCCCACCTGGTGCCTTCTCCGGCCCCATCACCAGGGCCTGGCCCAGTACCTCCTCAGCCCCCCGCAGCAGAGCCGCCCCCGTGCGCGCGCCGGGGCACCGCGACCGCGGACCTGCTCTCCTCCAGCCCTGAGAGTCAGCACGGGGGCGCACAGCCCCCCGGGGGTGGGCAGCCCCTGCTGCAGCCTACGAAGGTGGACGCGGCTGAGGGCCGCCGACCACAGGCCCTGCGGCTGATTGAGCGGGACCCCTACGAGCGCCCCGAGAGGCTGCAGCAGTTGCAGCAGGAGCTGGAGGCCTTCAGGGGCCAGCTGGGCGACGCAGGGGCTCTGGACGCCGTGTGGCGAGAGCTGCAGGAAGCACAGGAACAGGACGCCCGGGGCCGGTCCATCGCCATCGCGCGCTGCTACTCGCTGAAGAACCGGCACCAGGACGTCATGCCCTACGACAGTAACCGCGTGGTGCTGCGCTCGGGCAAGGATGACTACATCAACGCCAGCCGCGTGGAGGGGCTCTCGCCGTACTGCCCGCCCTTGGTGGCCACCCAGGCACCACTGCCCGGCACAGCCGCTGACTTCTGGCTCATGGTGCACGAGCAGAAGGTGTCGGTCATTGTCATGCTGGTGTCTGAGGCTGAGATGGAGAAGGTAAGGGGGGAGGGAGGGGTGCCGGAGAAGGTAAGAGGGGGCGGGGGGTGCCCAAGAAGGACCCTGCAAAGAGCCCTAACTGCCTCATCTGTTTTCTCTCAGCAAAAGGTGGCACGCTATTTCCCCACTGAGAGGGGCCAGCCCATGGTGCACGGTGCCCTGAGCCTGGCGCTGAGCAGCGTCCGCGCCACCGAGACCCACGTGGAGCGCGTGCTGAGCCTGCAGTTCCGCGACCAGAGCCTCAAGCGCTCGCTCGTGCACCTCCACTTCCCCACGTGGCCCGAGTTGTGCGTCTGCTGCCCCGGGGTGGGGACGGTCGGGGCGTCAGATGGGGTCCCCCTCCGGCTCACGGGTCCTGCCCCCACCCCCGCAGAGGCCTGCCTGACAGCCCCGGCAACTTGCTGCGCTTCATCCAGGAGGTGCACGCGCACTACCTGCATCAGCGGCCCCTGCACACGCCGGTCATCGTGCACTGCAGGTAAGGCACGGAGCGGGGAGCGGGCACTTGCCCGCGGGGGACTCCGGCCCCGGCCTCACGCCCCCTTCCCGCTGCAGCTCCGGGGTGGGCCGGACCGGGGCCTTTGCGCTGCTCTACGCGGCCGTGCAGGAGGTAGAGGCCGGAAACGGGATCCCCGAGCTGCCCCGGCTGGTGCGGCGCATGCGGCAGCAGAGGAAACACATGCTGCAGGAGAAAGTAAGGGGCTGGGCCGGTGGGCGCTGGACGGGGCGGGGGGCCTGCCCCGGGGGTGACGAGGCCCCGCCTAGCTGACCGGGCCGGGGGCACCGCTGCAGCTGCACCTCAGGTTCTGCCACGAGGCGGTGGTGAGACACGTGGAGCAAGTGCTGCAGCGCCACGGTGTGCCCCCTCCGGGCAGGGCTCCGGCCGGCACAGGCAGCAGTCAGAAGGTGAGGAAGGCGCCCCTGGGGGCGGCTGGGCCGGCCACAGCCCCGTGGACTCGTTTTCACGTGCTTCTGTCTCCACAGAATCACCTTCCTCAGGACTCCCAGGACCTGGTTCTCGGTGGAGACGTGCCCATCAGCTCCATCCAGGCCACCATCGCCAAGCTCAGCATTCGGCCTGCTGGGGGCCTGGATTCTCCGGCTGCCGGCCTCCCTGCCCCTGTAGAGCCCCCAGGCCTGCCGCCAGCCAGCCTCCCGGAGTCTGCCCAGCTCCCCTCCTCCTCCCCACCCCCTCTCTCTTCACCGCTGCCCGAGGTCCCCCAGCCTGAGGAGGAACAGCCAGCACCTGCGCCTCCCAGCCTGGGGCCCCCCTCTTCCTCCCTGGAGCTGTTGGCCTCCCTAACTCCGGAGGCCTTCTCCCTGGACAGCTCCTTGCGAGGAAAGCAGCGGATGAGCAAGCAGAACTTTCTGCAGGCCCATAATGGGCAGGGTCTGCGGGCTGCCAGGCCCACCGATGACCCCCTTAGCCTTCTGGATCCGCTCTGGACGCTCAACAAGACCTGAACAGGCTTTGCCTACCCGGTTTTTTCTCCACATCATCTCCCACGCCGGTCTGCCCATGCCTAGCAGGGCCTCTCAGGTGGGCCTGGCCTCGCACTCCCATTCCCACTGCCTTCAGCCCTACCTGGCCCAGCCCACACCCCTGTGGGGTTGAGACGTATCGCGGCCCTTGGGTCAAGTTCTCCTTTGTGGGACCTGACATTTTTCAGCTCTTTGCTATTAAAGTAATCAACCAACCCGTT